AACAGCCTACACAAATGAAACCGGATAGTACACTGCACCACACTGGCTGCCTTTGATCATTATGGTCTACCATCAAGAAGCAAAGTTTAACACACACCAAACTGGGTTTGTAAATATTGTTTAAAAAAGAAAAAGAAAAAAATCCATACTTACAGGTGGTTAAATATTCCCAGGGTGACTCCAAAAGTCATGTGAATAATTCCTAAAATCACAGACATTTTCATTTTGAAGGAGTTTAGAAAAGTGAGACGATTTGTGGCCAAGTTCCAAATCTAAAGACAAACAAGACAAAACCAGCAATCTTAACTTTGCTGAACTGCCATAAGACAAACAAACAGATGACACACAAGAAAGAGACTGTCTCCAGGCTGAAGGCAGCGCTGGACTAAAACACAAACAACATGCAGTTTCACTTAACATCTTCAGTCTGGCAAGCATTTACTGCCTTCAACCAAGGCCACAGACTGTTAAAAAAAATCCCATCAGTATAACATTCAAAGACTGGCAAAACGAAACAATCTCTTGTTTAGTGATTCATGCATAGGTAGGAAGACTAAAAAGAAAAGTACAGGAAACAGAGAATAAAAGAAGTGGCCATATGAACATAAGCCTATGCAAAAAAATTAAAGCAAAACACACCCCCGAAGTAGATGGTACTCAGCTACCACTATCAGCCACTAAGAAAGGGATCAGGGCAGGAGATCCTGGGAAGAGTGGGAGAACAATGTGGAACAAAACTCAAAATCATAAAAAAAAAAAAAAAGAAAAAGAAAAAAAGACCAGGTTTACTGGTGTGATAGAGCCTGGTGAGACCACCAAAACTAGGGGCCCTAGTTACCCTCAGGTCTAGAACTGAACTCACTCCTGTGGCTTCCAGCCAAATAATGGACAGGCATACAGGGTGAACATTTACACCAGGTAGATACACTCCTTGAAGCGATAAATCATGGGAGAACAGAAGGGCAGTGTTCATACACGGAGTCAGCTCGGGGGTGGGGGTGGGGTGCAGGAATGTGTTGGAAGGAAGGACTCTGGGAAGAGGCAACTACAGGGAGAAAGTGGGAAGAGAGCTGTTACATTGTAGGGAATTGCAGTCAATGTCATGAAACAAAATGTGTATGAACTGCTATATGGAAAACGAATTTGCTCTGTAAACTTTCACCCAAATCACAATAAACACACACACCCACCCTAAGCCACACACACACTAAAAGCCCACCTGAGACTTTCATGTTGGATGCCTGATGCCTTTATCCTAGATACACATCTTTCCATCTTAATGCAAGATTATTAGTAAATCTGGCCCCAAACGCAGCATCTTAAGAAACTGTTACACAGGTTTTCAAGTTTCCAGTGATAACAACCCTTAAAGGTACAGTACTAAATTACACAAGTTGTGTTTCGAGGTGAGAAGAATGAACAGAGCAATAATAACGCGGCATGCATCGATGAGCTCTTTTGCTT